AGGGCCCGCACATAGACTTACTAGGACTCACTTGCTCCAGGCTCCAGCATGGAGGGGAGGCAGCTTGAAAGGTACCAGAGACACACGGGAAAGAACTGAGTTGTTTGGCATCAGGGCCAGAGCTGGAGAGGCAGCTTTCTCCTGGACAGAAGTGCTGGTGGAGGCCATTGTTCCTTTGGTGAGCCCTTCCCCCACGAGGCCCGCAGACAGGCACCATCTCTGGGACTCCAGCAACCTGGCTCCCACTCTGGTGATTCCCTGAGGCCCTGTACCACCCAACTTTCAGACCCACCCAACCAGTTTCCAGTGGCTTTACCGTAGGATTGGCCTGTTTTGGCTCCTGCTTCAGATTTTCCTTAAATCTCTCAAACAGGCAGCATCTGGCTACAGCGAGCTATCTTGCTAAGTGGCCCCAGGCCTGGCACTAGAAGCAGCCAGCCTTGGTTCACAACTTGGCTTTTCCCGGGCACCTCCAAGCCCAGCACAAGAAGCAGCCATCTGCAGACTGCTTTGTAGCTTATGCTGGTGTTCCCGGGTAGAACACAGGCAGTGGCTGACCTGACCCAGAGCCAGCACACCCACTGGACAGCTTCAGACCACATTGAAGCACCACCACCCAACCACCTCCACAAGTGACACACTCAATGAGCAGACTCAGTGGGTACCAGAGCCCTGCTGAAGTAAGTCTTGCTCTGTGTGGTGGGCCCTGCACAGCTGATCCTCCAAAGTAGTCAGAGGACAGTGGTCAGTGGGCACAGCCAGTCCTTGCAGCTGATCAGCCTGAGTAAATCCCTCCCATTGACGTGCCAACAGCAATCAAGACTCAGTTACAACAGAAGGGTGTAAAGTCCACATGAGGGGTGCACCTTGAGGGCCCAGCTGGGTAACTAGGGACATCTACTACAACAGGCCACCCTAGGAAGCCTAGGAGACAGAAATTTTACCTAATACATAGAAACAAACACAGGGAGGCAGCCAAAATGAGGAGACAAAGAAACATGTTTCAAATGAAAGAACAAAGCAAAACTGCAGGAAAAGAACTAAATGAAATGGAAATGAGCAACCTAACAGATGCAGAGTTCTAAACACTGCTTATAAGGATGCTCAATGAACTCAGTGAGAATTTCAAGGAACTTCATGAGAACGTCAAGGAACTTAGTGAGGACCTCAAGAGCATAATAAAGGACCAGTCAGAAATGAAGGATACACGAACTGAAATAAAAAATGGCCCTGGCCAATTTGGCTCAACAGTTAGAGCGTCAGCCCATGGACCAGAGAGTCCCAGGTTCGGTTCCCACTAGGGGCAGGTACCTTTGTTGCAGTTTGTCCCTGACCCCTGTTGGGGTTGTGTGGGTGGCAACCAGTCGATGTGTCTCTCTCACATTGATGTTTCTCTCTCTCTCTTCCTCTCTCTCTCTCCCTCCTGCTCTATCTGAAGATGAATGCAAAAATGTCCTCGGTGAGGATAAAAAAATACAAAATATAAATAAATAAATATTTACCAAATTAATATGACAATGGGGAAAAAAATCATAATGAGGTCAACAGATGCAGAGGAGATTCATTTGATAATTCAAAATGCATTCTTAACCTAAAAAAAAAATAAAAACCACAGCTCTTAGCTGGAATAGATGATCACTTCATTAAAATAATGGCCAAAAAGTCAACATCAGGCTTCAAGAAAAAACTTGGAAAAACATTCTTACTAGATACACATCTTGTCTAATTCCTAATACCTTGATATCAATATGAATAAAAAAAATAGAGTGGGCAAAAGTAGGTTTACAGTATGAGTATGTGAAAGTTTATTCTTGTATTATTATTTATTATTGTATTACTTTTTTCTTTTTTTTTTATCCTCACCTGAAGACATTTTTCCATTTTTTTTTTGTTCAGATAGAGTAGGAAGGAGAGAGGGGAAGAGAGAGAGAGAGAAACATTGACGTGAAAGGGACACATCGAGTGGTTGCCTCCCGCACAACCCAACCAGGGCCAGGGACAAACTGCAACCGAGGTACATGCCCTTAGCAGGAACCGAACCCGGGTCTCTGGACCGCAGGCCGACGCTCTAACCGCTGAGCCAAACCTGCCAGGGCTGTATTACTTATTATTATTAACCTACTTTTGCCCACCCCTGTATGATTTAACATAGTTTTGGAGGTTAAACTTAATACCAAATGTTAAGAGAAGTACATAAAATTTATAAAAACTGAAAAGAGGCAAAAATGATCCTTATTTGCAAGTGATACGGTTATATACTTGAACACTTCAAAGAAACAACCAGAAAACTATTAAAATTCCTAAGATAATTACACAAAGCAATGCTTATAGTATCTGTTATTAAAGTCAGTGTGTTCCTTACAAACAATCACAAATACAAAGGAGGTAAAGATTTTATTCACAACAGCAATAACAGATAAAATACCTAGAAATAAACTCACCAAGAAAATTGACCCACCTGAAGAAAATTTGAAAATGCTACTGAAATACAAAAGAACAGTTGTATCAATAAATAAGAAGATTCAAAATTATAAAGATGTTAATTCTCCCTGAATTAATCTATAGACTCAATATCATTTCAATCAGAATGCCAACTCTTTTGGGAGATGGTAGAGAACATCGTAAAATTACTCAAAATGCAAAATGAATAATAGAGATGTGAGAATAGTTAGGAAACCTCACATTGCATAAGAATGAGATCAGTCCTACCAGTCGTTAAAGTATACCATAAATCTACAGTTAATTAAAACAGAATAGCACAGAAATAGAAATATCAGTGAAATAGAATATAGAGCCTAAAAATATACCCAGATACACATCTTGTATCAGGTAGTATGGTTATTAAAAATGGCATTTCAAGTCAGTGGGGGGAAAAAGATGATTCAAAATTATTGTGACAACTTGCTTATTATTTGTGGGAAAATGGAATTCTTATATCACTTTTTACTCTAAAATGAATTATGAATAAAGCAAACATTCAAATATTAAAATATAATTACTAAAAGAAAAACATGAATGTTTTTAGAATCTTTCTAAGCCTGATGAAAAACAGGGAAGTCACAAATCAAAAAATCAGATAAATCTGATTTCATAACAGAGTAAAACGTACCAAACTACAAAAATAATAAATAGCACTGGTCGGTGTGGCTCAGTTGCTTGGGTGTCTTCTTGTGCACTGAAGGGTTGCTGGTTTGATTTCCAGTCGGGACACAAGCCCAGGTTGCAGGCTCAATCCCCAGGAGGGGACTTCCAGGAGGCAAGCCCATCCATCAGTGTTTTACTTTTACATCAATGTTTCTCTCTCTGTCTCTCTATCCCTTCCTCTCTTTCTAAAAATCAATAATAAAAAAATTTAAAAATAGACAAATAAATATGAAAGATCTACAACACTTTGTACAATGAAGAATTAATTTCCTAAATATACAATAAATTCCTATAAAAATCATAAATACAAAGACAATCTAAGAAAAGAATGGTTGGTTTAAGAAAAGAATGGTGAAGGATGTGAACAGGTAGCTAATGCAAAAAGAAATACAAAGTTGCTCAACTTCATTCAAAAATTACAAGCAAAACTAGATACTATTTTTTCACAGATAAGGTCAGTAAAATAACTAAGGCTTATTACTAAGAATAATAATCACATTATTAAAATATTAATGAATGAATGTGGGTGAACATTTAAAGAAACAGGTGTTTTATCCTGTTGGGCACAATGTAAAATGGTGCAACTGGTCTGACAACCAATTTGACAATGTTTACCTAAATTTAATTTTTTTTTTTTAATCCTCACCGGAGGATATTTTTCCATTTACCTTCACATCGAGTGGGAGGGAGAGAGAGGGGGAGAGTAAGGGAAAGAGAGAGAAACATAAATTCGAGAGGGACACATCGACTGGTTGCCTCCCGCACAACCCGACCAGGGCCGGAACCAAACTGCAACCGAGGTACGTGCCCTTTGGCCAGAGACGAACCACGACTCACTGGTCTGCGGGCCTACGCTCTACTGCTGAGCCAAACTGGCCAGGGCTGTTTACCTAAATTTAAAATGAACAGTTTGGCAGAGCAATTTCTAGAAATGTGTCCTATAGACCTATTCACACATGTAATTTCAGGATGCTTTCCAAATTCCTCAAAATAACACTGCTCTCTCCCTTCTCAATGTTCCCACAGTACTTAAACTACAACAGTTTTTTTGTAGTAGTTTGTATTCAATTATTCATTTCATTAACTTAATTAGCAACACACGTATTCATTTCATTTATTCTTGAAATTATTTTTCCAGCTTTTAATCTCCATTTTGTCCAATTGTAAAGCACAAGAGAAAGTGTATTGAAATTTATTTTGTCCTCCCCAGCTCACATTATAGTCAATGTGAGTCATAGTATTCAATAAATATTTTTAAATCAATTATATGATAGTTCCCTCAGAATTTAAATATTACTTAAAAAAAATACATCCTTAGCCCTAGCTGGGTAGCTGAGTTGGTTAGAGTATCCTCCCAATAAGCCAAGGTGGCAGGTTCAATGCCCCTTCAAGGCACATATAAGAATCAACCAGTGAATGCATAAATGAGGGGAACAACAAATTGATGTTTCTCTCTCTAAAATCAATTAAATATTTTTTTTAATTATATCCTTGTCGTTTATGATCCTAGTTCCTAGGTCATATGGCCTACATTCTATTTTCTCCATTTAGGAATGTGCAAATGGTATAAAATCCACTTTTTAGAGTAAATTCACATTTTGTATAGCTGAAATTTCCCATTCAAAGGAATCCCCCCAAATTGAGATCTGATTTATCCACAACTCTGATAGTAAGCAGAAAACTTATTTAAATTAGCTAACAGCTTCTTACTTATCATCCTCATATAAAAACAAAACAAAATTTAAAAAACCTATGATCTTTAAAACTATATTTCAGTAACAAGAACGTAGGAATATTAAATAATGATTAAAGAAGAGACATAGTAGAACATGGCAATATCAACCAGTTTATCCAGTGTAAGAAAAATTGTCAGCTTTATTTTGATAAACATTTCAGATTCCCTCATATCACAGCATACCAACAGGCAAAATGTACATAGACTGATTTTTTTATACTGCATGTCAAGTCCCCAATTTCCAGCCCCAGGTAAGCAAGTTGCAAAATTCAAATGCTGATCATTTAACTATAGGTAGTATTTTAAACAAAAATAAGTGAGTTTTCAGCACTTATGTGACATGAGGCTTTAATCAAAAAGAAACGTAATTCCACAGGGCTTTCAACAGTAATGAGTTCAATCAAGTCTTTGATTCCAAGCTCAAGTGACAGTGTTATGTTCAAGGCCAGCAAACGAGGCAATTAACCCTTAAGTGGTATATTATACAGTATGTGCTACATCCCAGACAATCTCTAAGTGCGTTCAAGTTTTAAAACTTGCTTTGGAGTCCAGTAAAACAAGAATTAGAGAGAAGCGCTCTGCCCCACTTAGAGGACCGGCAATGTAATTGCTCTGTCCTGGTACAAAGGTACACTCTTAACATTGGTCGTCTTGAACCAACCTTCCACACTAAGTGATGCACCACAAGCATACTTCCTTCAGCTACAGCTTTGATTAAGGAACACACAAGTGTTAACAGAAGAAAATTCTGACTTCCAGTTTTAAAAAGCAGACAGTTCTATGAAGAAGCAACCAATTAAATATCTGAGTATACATTTAAGTTTTTACAACTTCATGCCTTAAAATAAGTTTTGATTTCAGATGGATTATTTTATGTACCCAGCATCAAATAATTTACACAATGTGTTTCATACAGTATTTTAGAAACTGTTAAGTGGCACAAAATTTTTTATCAAATTCAAGTTTCCAGTGATCTTGGAAGAGACAAATTACAGCTCTTTTTGTTCAGCTGAGCTATTATCTACAAAATCCTAAAGTTCTGTAAAAAAAAGTTGGTCAAAAAAACCCTGTAACTTTGATCATTTTCAACCTTTTAAATAGGCATAGCTAAAAATAAAAGGATCCTCTGGCATGAATAAAATTAAGTCAAGGAGCTTTACAATCCTAAGGCAGTATTTGGAAGCTCTCTGAGGTTTTACATAATTTCCACAGTCTTAATACCACTATTTTTATTCAGATAAAAGAAATGACCTTTTGAAATAATTGGCATCAGAAATGGCTTCTATGGACAAGAATCACAACTACAAACTAGGAGGGAAATGTATCTCAGCTGGCACAATTTCTCTCAAAGTATGAGGAATATTATATAATCAATATACAATAGAAGCAATAGATTAGAAACCTTGGAAAATTCAAATTTCTTTAGTTATTTTTGTTTTACTAAACAATTTGAAGTAAGCATTATGTTCACTTTAAAAAACAAAGTAAAATAAAAGATTTAAAAAAAATGCAGCCTGAAGCATTTTAGGAATCACCAAAAGTTTCTTTTTCTCCCTTTGCTCACTTTGTTACAAAAAAAGAAGCAAAAACAATTCTCTGCTCAAAGCAGTTCTTGAGAACACCATGGGGTTTGCATATGATTTTTTCTAATTTCCCATCCACCAGACCCTGACATCCAAATTAAGTATTTAAATAAAAATTCCTCTCCTATTTGCATGAAGTCTGAGCCACTATAGAAGGGGGTGGGGAAGCAGCTAAAAATCACTGGTGCTGCCAGGTTCCTCAGTGTGTCTTTTTGTTTTAATTTTATTTTTTTATGATAAAGACAAAAGCTCCAGCTGGACATTCACAGTTCAGGAATACATTGGGAAAAAAATATGTATCATAGTCCTTAGAATTTTCAAGTAAATGCTCCCAAATCAAATATTATAAAGCTGCTAATTAGCAGCTGAAAATAATTATCCATTTGAATCACATTGGAAATGTCTGAACTGTTTTATGAAAGCTTCCTCTTGTAGTCTCTATAAGGATCAGAGTATTTGAATGCACAAACTAGCTACTTAGGAATTCTTTTGAACAAAATTAACCCTAAAATGAATTTTCTCAACTCCTCCTTTTTCTCCAAACTGTTCAATCACATTTTAAAATGGGGAAGTATATGAAGCAGAGTGTTTTATATGGCACTATAACCTTTAAGAAACTTAACATTTTAGTGAACTGGGTAGCTTTTCATAAAATACTTAGATATTATTTCCCTATGTTGCATAATATATATACTATGAGAAAGTGTATTTTGACTCAAAGGATAAACTGAAATGATACAGTGTGACAATATATTCATTAGAGAGCTAGCATAATTTAAAAGGAAAGCATGTTATATATTTTATTAATTGCAATTTTTGTTATTTGGGCTTAATTTAACTTTTTTTTTTCTTTCTCCCTTTGGATTTCTATCTGATAGGGCATCTTTTATTGTTAAGCTGTGTTTGAGACTACAGAGAAAATGCAACGCTAATGCAATTTAACATAAATATAAATAATATAGAAGCAATATATATGTGTACATATAAACAGATCCAAGCATCAGACCACTGACGTTGTGCTCTCGGGATTCACACGAATAAGTCTAGATGCATTCCTCAGGTCCTGTAGTTGCTTGGCAGGTTTCCCTACACCTTCTTCAAACCTTTTCTCCACCACAGGGAGGACTGTTTCATACAGAAAGGATGCATTCTGCCTGATAAAAGCTTTCTTCTCTGGATCCTGCTCACAGCGAAGACTATAATCCACATGCTGAACAGCAACCAAAATTATTTCCATCAGGCTCTCCAAAAGTACCATGTGCAACTCTGGGAAATACAACTTCAGTGCCTCTTCCAAGAAGCTCATGGTCTGTTTGGTAAAGGCAACCACTGTGTAACTTAGGTTCACCCAGCAGTCATCTCCTGTGTACTGCTCAAAGTTACTCACTCCACAACTCTTCATCTCCTCTTTGAGTTTGCCCAGGGCCTCTGGAGTCATCAAGTTCATCCTCCTCCACATCTCCTCAGAGTTGCGATGTTTAGTGGCTTCAATTATGATTTCTTTGTAACTGTGCAAGGCCCCTTGGATATCTTTCACCAGAAGGGCATGGATGATGAAGGTGAGGTCTAGTCCGATGTCACCCAGCTGCTGACAATGCTCCTTCGCCACTTTTACACACTCAGCTGCTGTAGAGAGGCTCTCCTTACTATCAAACACCTGCTTACTAAAAGCATCCACAAACATGCCCATGGCAGATCTTGCCCAGACAACAAAGGCAGAGTAGCAGCCACTGTCAGTGCCTGCAAAATCCGTCTCAAATTCCCTTGCAGTCTCAAGAAGGCTGGTAAAGAAGACATGGCACAGCTTATGAATGTAGAGTAAAGTGGCACCTTCGATACGAAGCTGACGGATGGCCGTATGCACCGCTGCTGCCCTGTTTTTCAGAAACAGCTCACAAGCCTTTGTGCACTGGCCAAGACGAATGAGCTGTGAAACTGCCCTGCGAGTAGCCTTAGGACCACCTCTCAGGGAACGATCTGGGGAGAGTTCAAAAACTAGCACTTCGGTCAGCTGTCGGACACGCTCATCCACTTTGGCCCTTAGTTCTTTTACAGGAGGTGGACTGGGCTTATCTTCTAGGTAATGGTTCAACTTATCCAGCAGGTCAACAGCCCCTTCGAAGTCTCTCTGGGCAATGCAGACATCCAGGTCTTCCGGCAGTTCCTGAATCCATTCCATTGAGAGATCCACCTTCTCTTCTTCTACCTCAGGAACAGCTGGTTCATCATCTTCTTCATCCTCAAATGGGTTACCGGCCTTGGCAGTCACTTGGGGTGGCCCTCGAGGAGCTGCTGCCTCTTCCTGCTCCCTTCGTCTTTTCTCACTCAGAGCCCTCTTGGTTTCCTCCAGCACTTCCAGCCACTCTCGTTTGATTTTAGCATTTTCCGCCTGAAAAATGCGGCTCTCGGGAAACATCAGCAGCTTGAACATGTCCTTCATGGGCGGGTTGTCCTTGACATTGACCACGGCCAAACCATCTAATGGATAGAGGGCGTTGTAGCGATACATCCCCCGCCGCTGTGGCAGCCAGGTGGCCACCAACAAACAGTCGTTCATGAGAAAGCCGTGTACCCGCTGCAGCTGGGCCATGTGGTCCGCCTCATATTCCACCAAGTCCCCGTTGTAAACCAGGTACTGTCCAGGAGTCTCCAGCAGGTGCCTGCAGCCTTCCACCTTCTCAAGCAGGGTTGTGAGAGTGCGCTGTTTTCCTTCCTCGCCCGGACCCGCAGAGTCGCGGGAGGCGCCCCCGGAGGTGGGAAAAAGGCCAGTCTGGCCCCGGAGATGGTCTCGGCCCCCCGCGCCACCTCCTCCCTCCTCCCCTCCAGAGGCCGCGGCGGCCCCGGCGGCGGCGGCAGCAGCCGGCAGCAGGGTAAGCGGGATGCTCTCCAGGCTGCTCTTTTGCTCAGTCAGCAGATGGCTGAGCTGATACATCTCGCTCTCCAGGTAGGAGATCTCACGGGCCGTCTCTATGAACTGCCGGTAGTTCTGGTAGACGTTGCGCTTCAGGTTCTGTGCCGTCTCCTCCGCCAGAGCCTGGATACGCTGCCGGTGCTCCTGCAGGTCCCGGTCCCCGTCCGACTGCTGCGAGAGCTGCTTCACGTACAGCCGCGCCTCAAAGCTCCCCGACTCCAGCTGCCGCCGCAGGCGGCTCGCCCCACTGTCCGACATCGCCATCGCCATTTACGTCCGGGTCTCTCGCAGTCACTGTCACTCTCGCCGACGCCGTTGCCGCCGCTGTCGGGGCCCACCCAAGCCCCGCGGAGCTCCAGGGTTGAGGAAACAGGATGGAAGACAAACGAGTACGCCTGCGCCCGAGTGTGAGGTTTAGATAGTGCGCCTGCGCGAGGGACCGACCCCAGACAGTGCGCCTGCGCAGGAACCCAGCGGCCTAGAGCGTTTGCGCTGGAGGAGCTACCGCGGAAGTGAGTGGGGGGCGAGGCTGAGAGAGCTATAGGTAGTGCGCATGCGCCTATCATGACGTTAAGTTTGAAGTTATGGGAGTATCGTGAAGGTGGTAGCTGCTTCCTGAAACCTTACTTGGGCCGGAATTCAGGGAACCCAAGTTTTAAGCCCACCAGGAGGTGTCATGCTGAGTTCTTTTTCTTAAGCTTAAGAACTTGGTTTCGGCGTTTGGGGCAAGCTCAGTTCTTGTTCTTGAGCCTGTTTTCCCTGAGGTCTCGCGAGATCCTCAGGCTGAGCCGAGAGCGCCCCAACAGCCGGTGTCTCGTAGGAGCTCTACCGGGCACCCAGAGCCTCAGCGACCTGAAGTCGCGGTTGCGCCCGGGCGCAGGCCTAACGCCGGCGGACCCCGCCCGGGACCCTGGCAGCGATGGACGAGGACCTGGTTTTGGCACTGCGGCTTCAGGAGGAGTGGAACTTAACGGTCCCAGAGCGCGCTCGGGCCCAGGAGCCCCTGTCACTGGTGGACGCGTCCTGGGAGTTGGTGGATCCCACCCCGGATTTACAGGCCCTGTTTGTGCAGTTCAACGATCGGTTCTTCTGGGGCCAGCTGGAGGCCGTCGAGGTGAAGTGGAGCAAGAGAATGACCCTGTGAGTCCCGGGCCCCGCTGGGGAGGGGGGGCGGCTGGCGGTTGTCCCCCCACGTCCGCCCCCGCCCCAGGCCCAGGGCCTGTTCGTTAAACCAGGGGTCCGGCTTCGGCCCAGGCGGCTCCTCTGGTGTATTTCTCTCTCCTACCCTGCCTTTCTTCCGCTCAGACAGCTTTGAGAAAACTGTGGCGCCCCTCGTTACGGTTTGACTTACAACGGGCACACTGAGAGAGGGATGTTTCTTGGAATCCCACCTCACTTGAAAACAAATGAACACATTTCTCATTTGTCTTACGGCGGTGCCTTAGAGCCCAGATGTGTCGTCCCCTTTCTTCTGTGCCGTTAGGACACCGTCACTTACTAGTGAGCTTGGCGTTAGAGTGGGGGTGGGGGCGTTGGCCGTTGGCGTTCCCATAATTGTGGACCCCAGGGATCTTCAGGGACGCCTGTAAAAGGATCATTTTTGCTACACGCTAAATTTGAAAAATCCCGATAAGAAATAATCTAGCCCTGTATGTGGACGGAGTTATTACCAACTTCAGTATGCGGTTGTATACTGCCTAAAATAAGACTATTGTAACTTTGTAGGTGTGTTCGTGGAGATCAGGCTGTTACCAGCACAAAGTGGCGATATGATTAGCTTGTAGGGAGGAGATGGGAGCCGCAGATCAGATTATCTTCCTTGAGCTGTTGCAGCCTGACTGACTGTTCACATAGCTCCCTAACTGGGGTGAAATGCAAATCTATTTTAACAAAGGGTATAATTTCAAAAAAGCCATCTGCCATAGAGTTCTCTTAGTGTGAACTGCCCAAGAATGTATAAGGATTTGATTTTTCATATTTACCTTTTGTGTGTATTTGGTAAATAATGCTTTGGTGGTGGTTGTCTTTCAGGTGTGCTGGGATATGCACCTATGAAGGGAAGGGTGGAATGTGTTCCATCCGTCTCAGTGAACCCCTTTTAAAGTTGAGACCAAGAAAGGATCTTGTGGAGGTATTCTTTGCCTAAATCTGATTCTTAGTTCAGTAATTTAGACATTCTTATTGATTTAGACTGTTGTGAATTAACCTATGAATGTAAAAAAAAAATCAGTCTTACACAATTGTAAACTTTAATTGTGGGGCAAATAATGATTATCTTATATTTTTGAAGTGTTTCAAAGTTAAAGGCTTTCAGGTATAGTATCTAATTTGATATTCACAAATTTCAATGTGTATTATCCTAAGTTTTATTTATTTGTTTGTTAATCCTAACCCAAGGATATTTTGATTTTTAGATAGAGTGGAAGGGAGGAAGGGAGAGAGAGAGAAACATCAATATGAGAGAGACACATCCGGTGGTTGCATCCTGCACGACCCCAACTGAGGCCAGGGATCAAATCTGCAACCAAAGTAGTACCCTTGACTGGGAATTGATCTGAGGCCCTTTCCTCCCAACGGCCAATGCTCTAAACGCTGAGCCAAACCAGCCAGGGCTAAGATGATAAATTTTATGTTATTGGTTTTGTAACATAACTTTTTAAAAAGTAATTAGCTACTAAATGTAAAATGGTACAACAGAAATACTTGATTAATAAAAAAATAATAATAAAGGAATAAAGGCCAGAGAAAGAAAGGTAGGCATAAACATAATATCAGTAATTATATTAAATGTAAATGGACTAAAGACTCCAGTTAAAGACAGAGTGATATACTAGATTAAAAGAGACACACTTTACTCAGCAGCCAGTGTGTCTCAGTGGTTGAGCATCGACCCATGCACCAAGAGGTTGCTGGTTTGATTCCTGGTCAGGGCACATTCCTGGGGACCAAATCCCCAGTGGGGGGCATGCAGGAGGCAGCCAATCTGATGTTTCTATCTCTCTCTCTCCCTCTCCCTTCCTCTCTCTCTAAAATCAATAAAGAGGAAAAAAAAAAAAAGAGAGAGAGAGAGACACACTTAAAGACTCATATGTTGCCCTGGCCGGTTTGGCTCAGCGGTTAGAGCGTCGGCCTGCAGTCCGGAGAGACCCAGGTTCAGTTCCCGCTGAGGGCACGTACTTTGGTTGCAATTTGTCCCCTGCCCTGGTTGGTCGTGCGGGTGGCAGCCACTCGATGTGTCCCTTTCACATCTCTCTCTCTCTCTCTTCCTCTCTCTCCCTCCCACTCTATCTGTACAAACAATGGAAAAGTGTCCTCCGGTGAGGATTAAAAAAAAAAAAGAAAAAAATAAATAAATAAAATAAAGACTCATATGTTAGTCTTCGTCAGGTGAGAGTGTTATCCTCATACACCAAGATTGCGGGTTCAATCCCCAGATAGGGTACATAAAGGAATCAACCAATGAGTGCACAAATAAGTGGAACAACAGATCGATGTTTCTTTTTCTCTCCCTCTCTTTCTCTCCCTCCCTCTCCCTTCTTCTCTCTAAAATCAATTTTTAAAAAAGACTCATGTTAAATGTAAAAGGATAAAAAAAAGTATATTAGCTAAACACTTAACAACAGAAAGCTATTGGGACTATATTGGTATCAGACTAAAGATTTTAAGGGAATAAGTTTTACTGGGAAAAAGGGGGACCTTTTATAATAATTATTAAATATACCCTAACAACCCTAAAAGTAATAACTTTAAACTACATGAAGTATAAGTTAGCAGAATCAAAAAGAAATAATCCACAATCATAGTTGCAGTTAAACACAACTCTCTTGGTAACTCAATAAGCAGGAGAAAAAAGTAAACATAAAAAAAAACTCGAACATGATTAACCAGTTCAACCTTATGAGGAGCCTTGATTAGAACAGTAGTTGCTTTTGAATATCTATTGCACTAATTAAATGAACACATGGGGGGGAAAATTTAAGGTAATGGGTGAGAAGAGAATGGAAAATGTGTGGTAATGCTACTAAGTAATTAAGCATTAGCTATTGGAGGGAAGTTACAATATCAAATCAGGGGTAAGAAAGAGAAAGGAACAGTGGGACTAAACAAAAGTGAGGCCAGGCCATTAAATTTATGGCATATTTAGGACCAGAAGTAGTTCCTTTGGCTAGATAAAACAGTGGTGTAGAGATGTTTTGGGACCATGTTGTGTTGAGCCTTGAATCTAACATAAATGTGGGAAATGGCAGATGTGTTTAGTTCTGTTTTTCTGTTCATCATAATCTTATAAGACTAAAACTCATTAATGTCAGTTTAGTTCTGATGGAAATTCTTTTTTTTTTATTGTGAAGGGTTATGAAAAAGGTATACTTTTGAAGACCTTTATTATTTTCATTTAAAAAAATGTATTATTTTTAGAACAAATTATGAAACAGCAACATTAAATGCTTTTGTTAATTTTGCACCTAAATTTCTCCCTCCTTGGTGTGGAATGTAGTAGGTTTTATTTGCTTGTTTTAAAATTTTGCATTAAAACAATACACTCAGGCCCTGGCCAGTTTGGCTCAGTGGTTAGAGCGTCGGCCTGCGGTCTGGAGAGACCCGGGTTCGGTTCCCGCTAAGGGCATGTACTTCGGTTGCAGTTTGTCCCCGGCCCTGGTTGGTCGTGCGGGTGGCAGCCACTCGATGTGTCCCTTCACGTCGATGTTTCTATCTGTCTCTCCCTTCCTCTCTCTCCCTCCCACTCTATCTGTACAAAAAATGGAAAAATATCCTTGGGTGAGGATAAAAAAAAAACAAAAAAAAACCAATACACTCAGTAGGTTTTTTCAAATCATTTCATAGAGATCTTTTTCACTATCTTTTATGGCTACATAGAATTACATTATGTGGATATAGCATAGTTCATTCAACCAGGCCCCTATTGCTGCACTTATTTCCAATCTTTTGTCATTGTAAACAGTGCCACAATGAAAATACCTTGGTGATATGACCTTTCATATTAGTCTGGGTATTGCTAGGGGAAAGGATAAATGCACTTGTAATTTTGTTAGTTGTTACCAAATTCTCCATAGGGGTTGTACTATTTTGCACTCCTACCAGTGATATGTAGGAATGTTTATTTTCCTTAGCTTTACTGACATTGTCAAACTTTACTAAATTTTAATTTTAATTTTATTATTTTTAAGTAATTATGCTTATCAAGAGTTTTACTGATCTTGATAAACAAGAAGTGGTGTACTAGTGTACTATTGATTTGCATTTGTTTTTCTAAATGAAGTTGAACATTTATTCACTTATTTTTCTTTTTAAAAAATTTTTATTATTTATTGTTATTATATATATTTTTATTGTTGGCAGTATTACAGATGTCCCCCATTCCCCCCTTTCCCTCCTTTAGCCTAGCCCCTCCCACCCTCCCCAGGCCTTTACCACAATCATCTGTGTCCATGGGCTATGCATATAAGTATATAAGTGCTTTGGTTTATCTCTTCTCATTCACCACCCCCACCTCTGAGATATGTCAGGCTTTTTCATGCCTTGTGACTTATTTTGTTGGTTAATTTATTTTGTTCATTAGATTCCACAAATAAGTGAGATCATGTGATACTAGTCTTTCTCTGACTGGTTTATTTCACTTTAGCATAATAATCTCCAGGTCTATCCATGCTATGTCAAAGGATGAGATCCTTCTTTTTTTTTATAGCTACATAGTATTCCATTATATAAATGTACCATAGCTTTATAATCTACTCATCTGCTGATGGGCACTTGGGCTGTTTCCAAATCGTAGCTATTATAAATAACGCTGCTTTGAACGTAGGGGTGCATAAATTCTTTCCGATTGGTGTCCCGAGGTTTTTAGGATATATTCTTAGAAGTGGGATCACTGGGTCAAATGGCAGTTACATTTTTATTTTTTTGAGGAAAGTCCATACTGTTTTCCATAGTGACTGCACCAGTCTGCATTCCTACCAGCAGTGGTGTACTAGGGTTCCCTTTTTTCCACATCCTTGCTAAGCCTTATAGTTTGTTGATTTATTGATGATAGCCATTCTGACAGATGTGAGGTGATACCTCATTGTGGTTTTAATTTCCATTTGTCTGAGGATTAGTGACTTTGAGCATTTTTTCATATGTCTGTTGGCCATCTGTATGTCATCTTTAGAGAAGTGTCTATTCAGGTCCTTTGCCCATTTTTTAATTGGATTGTTTGTCTTCCTTTTGTTGAGTTAGTTGTATGATATATGGGTTATTTTTTCTGTGAACTGTCTGTGACCTTTGCCCATTTTAAAATTGAGCTGTTGGTCACTTTCCTGATGGCTTTAGGAGCTCAATTTATTTTAGGAATTAAGAGCCTGTGAGATGAGTCACACATATTTTTGAGTTTGTTCACTTAACTTATGGTATTTTTTACCCCATACAGAATTTAAACATTTTACGTAGTAAATTCATTGCTCTTTTCTTCTGGATTTTGATTAATAGTAAGTCTTTCCTGGAACAAGGATTTCCTGATGTTGGATCTATGGAACTTTAGACATTCTGTGCACAGTTTTGTGCACATGTGTTTGTGTGTTTTCTAGAAAGATACTTCATGACTTTTATCAGCATCTGAAAGGAGCCTGTGAGCCAAGGAAGGTTAAGACCCCAGGTAGAGTAAGAAAATGCATTTTTATTTCAAAAGTACCATAAATTAATTTGATTGTTTTCTGTTTCAGACCCTCTTGCATGAAATGATACACGCCTATTTATTTGTCACTAATAATGACAAAGACCGGGAAGGGCATGGTCCCGAGTTTTGTAAGCACATGCATCGAATCAATCGCCTGACTGGAGCCAACATAACGGTATATGAAGCCACACACATTTGTGATATTCAGTAGTTAATTCATTCAGTAATTCCTGGGATTTAGTTAAAAACAGAGAACTGGGTAGAAACAAACACAGCAAGTGAGAGGCCCGGAGAAGCTGATCGGGGTGGAAGGGCAGCCGAGCCGGCCATAGGGAGGCCTCTGACCACCTCTAGGGCAGCATTTCGTGTGTAGTTGCTTCAGGCCTGCGGTCCCTGTCTCCTGGGCTGTTACAGTTGTCTCCTACTTTGCTTCCTTATTATAGTCTCCTTCAGTCCACCCTGTATTCTGCTGCTGCTGCTTGTGCTTCCCTTCCCCAGAAGTCTTCTTCGATTCCTATTTCGACGTAATATTGTAGGAGGTGGCAGAGCCTGGGGTTTGAAAAGCATGAGGATCAGACTGCTTGGGTTCAGGTGCTGGTTATGAACTGTGGGGCCTACTTAACTCTTCTAAACCCCAATTTACTCACATGTAAAAGGAGGAGGAAAACAATACCTGTCTATTGGATCCTTGTGAGGATTAAAGGAGAAAATACATGCAGAACATTTTAGCACAGTTTGAGTTCTAATTAAATCTTAGTTATTGTTATTGTTTCAAATTCATTTTTATCAAATAACCTCTCTGTACCTTTTTTCTTAACTTTCACAACTCCCCTGCTTAGGTCTGTTTCTAACTGAACTCTTCACCTTCATGCCTTTCCTCAAAACCCCTCCCTAACGTGTGCCCCCTGTTGCTGTCGGCACGCTCTTCATCTTCCCAGTGGGCTGTAACTTCTCTGTCCTTTGAATCTCAACAGATACTGAACTTTCTGCAGTATTTTTTTCTACTGTCCTACCTCTGAACACAGGGCGGCTCTTACTCCTCTTTCTAGACCTGTATGTGTGGTGTTTAATGTAGCTAACGCCCCTACAAGGGCTTAACAGGTACTGAACTGAAGTGAACCAAATAGAACATTCCTACACAGATTAAATTCTTTGGTATTTGGGGTATTTCCTTTAATTGGCAGTAGAGGCCAGTGTGATAGAAAATGAAAAGTGCTCACCCTTGATGTATTATTTTCTGGCTGTCAGTGTTGACTTTCTTTTTTTTTATCCTCACCTGAGGACATTTTTCCATTTTTTGTTCAGATAGAGCGGGAGGGAGGGAGAGAGAGAAACATCGACGTGAAGGGACACATCGAGTGGCTGCCACCCGCACGACCAACCAGGGCCGGGGACAAACTGCAACCGAGGCACGTGCCCTTAGCGGGAACCGAACCCGGGTCTCTCAGTACTGCAGGCCGACGCTCCAACCGCTGAGCCAAACCGGCCAGGGCTTTTTATTTTTTATTTTTTATTTTTTTAGTGTTGACTTTCTAGAGCGCTCATTTAATTAGTGGATAGAGTTACTTCAACGTCAAGAAAGTGGTTTGCATTAAAAAACAATCACATAACATCCAGATTAGTAAAAGCATTATGGAGTTGCCAGTATAAAAACCTTCTAGTTTCTTCATTAGAATTTGCACTTTAAGCCCGGCCAATGTGGCTTAGTAGTTGAGTGTCCCCACCAAGAGGTCACCAGTTCGATTCCCAGTCAGGGCACATGCCCAGGTTGTGGGCCTGATCCCCAGCAGGGGGCATGCAGGAGTTAGCCAGTCGATGTTCTCTCTCATCGATGTTTCTATCTCTCTCTCCCTCTCCCTTCCTCTCTCTCTAAAATCAATAAAAAAAAATTTTTTTAAAAGAATTTGCACTTTAAGCAAAGTCCTGGTATACTTCCTATTGCCCAGCGGGAAGAGGATATATTCTTTTATCTTGGATGCCCGTGTGTTTTTATGTAGGAGAGGTTTGATCGAGTGGACATCCTTGCTTTTTCAGGTTACATCCTGTTATAACAAACTCCACAGGGCATTCAGTTTCACACTGTGGAACAATTTTATTTTAGTGACTACATTGTTAAAAAGTCACATCCCCAGGCTGTAGGAGTTACAGGCGTTGGAAGCAAAACAGATTCAATTCCCAGATTTTTTTGGCCATTGAATTAGTAAGCAGAGATCCCAAAGTGAGGAAAGGCAGGGTGTTACATACGTCTGCCCCCAGACCTTTGTCCTCCAGTCTCTTCCGCACCTAATATAATGTGCACTATTTTTGCACGTTTGCCAGGTAATAGATTTATTTTGCTTATGGAGAGAATAGTGTATATTATAAAACTATTTACTTATAGAGTTATAGAAAGCTTAGCATTCTTTCCCACAGGGGGAATTTATTAGAAAGTTAAATGTGTTTGGTTAAAAAAAAAAATCTCATGAACAGATGCTCCTTATCTTATACAAATAGTAATGTTCCACTGAGAAGACAGAAGAAAAGTTATTCATAGTCATTTAGGAGAATTAGTTTTTATTTTTTATTTTTTTCTTTATTGATTTTAGAGAGGAAGTGAGAGGGAGAGAAAGAAACATTGATGAGAGAGAACATCAATTGGCCGCCTCCTGCATGCTCCCCACTGGGGATTTGACCCACAACCTGGGCATGTGCCCTGACTGGGAATGAAACTGGCGACCTCTTGGTGCCTGGGTCGACGCTCAACCACTGAGCCACACTGGCTGGGCGGGAACAATTCTTATGGCATTACATAAAATCTTGTCTTTATCCTAATTTTTGATCATTTTAAATTTGTTTTCTAAAACTTTTAGCATGTATAGAGGCTTTGTGTTTTTCTAAAAGGTGTTATTGTCTTCTAGTCCACATTTTTCTATCTTTGTACAGTTTATGAAGTATTAAATTAACCTGCTGCTCTTTCCCATGAAAATTAACTTTTGAGCAGAGCTAAATAAATACTTAGTTGCTGTCTTTCCCAAAATAAAACTTCAGAAAGCTCTGGAAAACTGGAAAGCTTAAAAAAAAAGCTTCTCATATATTTTCTTAAACTGTTAACTTGCCTACTCAGTGCTAATACCTTTCTTCCATCAGATTTACCATACCTTCCATGATGAGGTGGATGAGTACCGGCGACACTGGTGGCGCTGCAATGGGCCGTGTCAGTTCAGAAAACCCTACTACGGCTATGTTAAGCGTGCGACCAACAGGGCCCCCTCTGCTAATGACTATTGGTGGGCTGAGCACCAGAACACCTGTGGAGGCACGTACATAAAAATCAAGGAACCAGAGAACTACTCAAAAAAAGGCAAAGGAAAGACAAAACTGGCAGCAGCAGAGAAAAAAGGTAAGTGTGTTCCTCCAACGTTTCCACAGCCATAGCTGCGGTGTCAAGACAGAGCCATCCTTTAGAGAACTGGTATTAAGAGAAGCTTAAGGAGTGTTTCTACAAGTTTTCAAATGTGGACTTTAAACATTCTAGCCCTGGCTGGTTTGGCTCAGCGGTTGGAGCGTCGGCCTGCAGACCAGAGAGACCCGGGTTCAGTTTCCGCTGGGGGCACATACCTTGGCTGCAGTTTGTCCGCGGCCCCGGTTGGGGTCTTGTGGGTGGCAGCCACTCGATGTGTCTCTCTCACTTCGATGTTTCTCTCTCTCTCTCTTCTTCCCTCTCTCCCTATCTGAAGATAAATGCAAAAAAAGTGTCCTTAAAAAAAAGTTATAAAAAAAATCCTATAGTCCATGAAATGATGGTAGAAAAATATGCTTTGCTCTATGTACATGGAAGTAAAAGTAGAAATTGTTTCCACTGATAATATTTGAGGGTAAAGCCCCTTTCCCTATCTTCACTCAGTGAGTCATTAGGAAACAGAAGGCAAAAAGATTGTCAAAACAAAAACAGTAATTCAAGTAACAATGCCCGGAATATAGGTCATTACTACACCCCTTCCTATCAGTTGGATTCTATCCAGGTGACTTCTCCTATTGATGTGTGTACTTTCATTGGGAGAAGAATGGGGAAAGGATGTGACATGTGTATGCAAGGACTTCATCTTCAGGATTTATCTCCTTCCTATGAAGTTCAGAGTCACTGCCTTTTGAAGAGGTAACCAGGTAACTAAAGTTAATGCTTCTTCCCTCGGGAAGTTATTGATTTCATGGAATAGGACCCAGGACCGTAAGCTGCATTTCCCAAATCTAAAATGTTAACTTGAGACACTATAGAAGAATTTCTGTAGAGAGATTATACCCTCATTGTTGTTAGGAGGAGAAGGCTGTGGCGGATTTTTCCCTCCTGGAACTCAATTCTAAGCAACTTTCAATGTCAAGTCATGTTGCTGTGGGCCTTTGCATGATCAACGGCCTTATCTAAAGATGAGAGAATGTTTTCCATCCTTTCTGTTCTCTCAGTACAAGCTGACTGCTAAAGAGTATCTTCCTTTCATTAATAGGTAATTATATGGATCTAAGTTATAATAAAATAATATTTCATTTTGAAAAGCTATCCTTTGGCTTAATATTTGTTGTCATATTAATTTTGAGTCAAGGAAAACTCTTATTTGCCTCTTTTGCAGATAAACCTAACGGAGTTGTCCCATTTAGTGGGAAAGGACATGTTCTAGGAGAAAGTTCACCTTCATCTGGGAAGTTGAAAACCCAAGATCTTTTAAGTCAAGATCATTCAGCAAAAGGTGTAAGACTGAATTCTAAAATTGAGGTGAAATTTGAACAGAATGGTTCAAGGAAAAAAACTTCTCTAGTCTCTCCTGTTCTTAATACCAGTCACCAAAATGTTTTAAGTAACTACTTTCCTAGAGCATCAGTTGCCAATCAAAAGGCTTTCAGAAATGTGACTGGATCTCCAAAAAACAGCACAGAAATTGGTGACATCAATAAAAACTCCCTCTCTTCTAGTTCTCCAAGAAGGACTTCGTCTTCTAAGATCGCCCTGAGAAATTCTTTAAAAGCAATAGAATCAACATCTGTGACTGCATCCCAGAATGCAGGTGGGTCTGAATATGAATTCCCAAGTAAACGACGCAGACTGGAAGACAAGACTGTTTTTGACAATTTTTTCATCCAGAAAGAGAAAACACAAAGTGGTGGTAACGATCTAAAATGTAGTTCACTTCCTGTGGCTGCAACTCAGAATTCCAGCAGTTCATCCGGTCAGAGCAAAATGGTTAATTGTCCTGTTTGTAAGAATGAAGTTTTAGAGTCTCAGATTAATGAGCACTTAGATTTGTGCCTTGAAGATGATAGCATCAAAGTCAAAAGCGGAAAAAATCTTTGAAAAGAAAATGGGTCTCACATACAACCAGTGCTACCTCACCAACAGAGTTTCAGTCACTCAGGAAGTTCTGGTTAGTACTGAGACTTGTAGTTACAATCTAGTTCATGTAACCAATACAGATGTGTTTTATATGCATATAAGACATTGTAATTTAAAACACTTGTCTGAAGGCGCCATATTTATATTCACTCTTGCTTTGCATACGGTAGCCCAGTTTGTTCTGCATGTTCACGTGCATAATTTTCAGATGCTTTTGTTCTTTCTGGCTCTTAAATGTTTTTAGATCTGTTCATCTTTTTATTTGCATACTTTCCTAAAACTGTTTAATGAGGAGTTAAATATTTGGTTATTAATATTAAAACTCGTTCCCAGTACTGTTAATATTTATAGTGTCAGGCATAGTAACCAAAAACACAATGTAGAATACAAAGTATGTTAGTTGTTAGGGTACTCAAGGTATTTTTAAATGTTTTAACTTTATCCTCCCAAATCTTAACAGGAAATATATTTTATATATTTGAAAGAATTTTATTTCTGTTTTACTTTGGTGGCAGCAGATTTTAGGTTAAAGTAGATAGAGTATAGTAAAACAAATTTCTTTTGACATATTACTAGTAACAAATAGCCACTAATAATTTTGTAGGCCAGAGTTTTAGTTTTCTCAAAATTTAGCAAAATGAGTGGCTAAAATTTGGTGCTAAGTAACTAATATATATAATCTAGCAGAGTTGCCTAGTTTCTGTAACAGTGGAACATTATCTGAAAACGGTATTGTGACCTTTTAAACCAAAGTTGAAACCATTATAATAAAAAGAATACTATTTGTTCATTTAAAACTATTTTAAAATTCTTTTTCAGGGATACATAAACTTTTATCAGTTTACTTTTGTCTCAGGGCTGTAGCTCCAGCATGTTGGCGTATTCCCAAAACGTTAGTTCACAAGTTTTCTTTTTTCTTAATTTTGGTACAACGTGACTTGTATACACATAAGGTGCAGAGATCCTAAGTGTGAAGCTGGGTGAACACATCAGTTACCACAGGTGTCTTCGTGCTGCCTGTACTGAGCCAGTGCCCACAGCCCCTAAAGGGAACACTGTTTTCTTCTGTCACAGCAGGTTGGTTGAGCTTGATCTGAACTTCATAAAGTAGTACTTGGTTATGTGTAGCATAAATTCTGTTTTTCACTGCCCTGTAGTATTTGTGTGAATATGCCCAAGTTTATACATCCATTCTAATCCTGATGAACATTTGAATTATTTCGTCAGAGCTGGCTATTATGAATAATGCTGCTAAGAACATTCTTATCATTTTTCCTGGGTTTGTACCCGGGATCAGATCGCTGGGTCACAGGGTATTTTTATGGTTAGCCTTGGTTAATAAATATTGCCAGTGTATGCTGCTACCAGCAGTGTATGAGTTCCAGTTGCCCAATTGTTAACACTTATCAATCCTTGTCATTTTAGCCCGTCTGGTTGAGAGTTCACAAGTTTTTATATCTCTTAAGTTTGAAGTTGAGAAATAGTATTTAATAAATAGTATTTAATAAATATAAATGACTTAAAACGTGTGTATTGTTACTTTCATAGATGATCAGTTTCACTAATTCAGTTTAACAAATGTGCAGTTATACATATTTGAGCCAAAATTGTACAAGGTTCTGGGGCTACAAGTAAATAAGACACAATGTCCTCAAGTAGCTTTACAGCTTTGGGAAGGAGACAGCAGATTAGGTTCCGTACAGCGAGTGCCACCACAGCTTCTGCTGGCTGCAGAACTTAGGGACTTCAGAACAGCCCAGGGCTTCAGGGGGTGTTTCTTGGAGGAGATGACATCTGAGTTGCTCTAGGGTGAGTCCAGTTGGCCTGGTATGAGAAAGGACGGAGAAGGAACCCAGAAAATGCAAGGAAATCGCCCATTCTACTGGGAGAAGTAAGCTCTTACAAAGGAACAGTATAAAATGTGGGATAAAATGGCAGAAGGAGAAAGTCTGAAGACAGACCCAGCTTAGAATTTTGAGGGCTGAGACCCTATCTTATGTCGTTTGTGTGGTCCAGGTGTGTGTGTGTCCACGGCGGGGCGGGGTGGGGGTGCACTGGGGACTGGACTGGTGTGTAAGCCAGTGAGCATCTGAGAAGTGTTTTTGATTCATTCTCTGGGGCGACACAGATGGCAGGAAGACAGGCAGTAGCAGGGATGGAGAGAGGATGAGCTGGAGAAATACTTGGGTGTAAAATCAACAGGTGGTCAGTTTTAAGGGATGATGGAGATACCATCACTAAAGAGAATACTGAAGTTTGTAATTAAGCCTTCACTTTAATCTGCTAAAACCTTTTGAGAAAACTTGCATACTAAGAATTCTATTACTCCCAAATATGAGTCATTTACTATATTATATCAGAGAAATAGTTTTCTGTTCTACTGATTTAAAGCAACTTTCCTATCCTAATAACAGAGCTGGTGATTATGGGTTCACCTTTAAATGCTATTGCCATTCATTTTGGGTAGATGGGGAGTAAACTTTATTTCATTATTTTTTTGTTGAAAGTATTACAGATGTCCCTCTTTTTTCCCCATTGACCCCCTCCTCCCTGTACCCACTCTCCCTCACCTCCTATTCTTTATTGATTTTAGAGCGAGAGTAAGGGAGAGGGAGAGATAGAAACATTGATGAGAGAACATCGACTGGCTGCCTCCTGCGTGCCCCCCACTGGGGATTTGGCCCATAACCTGGGCACGTGCCCTGAACAGGAATTGAACTGGCCACCTCTTGGTGCCTGGGTTGATGCTCAACCACTGAGTCACACTGGCCGGGTGTATTTCGCATTTTTAAAGTCAAGGTCATATGTTATCTAGCTAAACTAACTCTAAATTTAGAGTGTTTTGTCTCAACAACAAAACATTTACTGTTCCACAGCTCTGAGACTGTATTTTTTTCAAAGCTGATAGGATTTTTAAGTAAATTAGAAGGTCAAAGTGAAGCAGCTGCTATATCTCGGCAAACTTGGTTTCCAGCTGTGACCCTGAGGCACACAGTATTGCATCTCACTGGGCTAAACTGCAATTTGTTCATCTTCATCCAGAGACAATGGTCTTCTATTATTGTGCCTCTGTTTTGTCCTTTGAGGCCATTGTTGCCTTTCTAGCCATTTGTTGTGGTGGTTGTTGACTAGCAGCATATCCACCAAATGAAGTGAAATTCTCATGTTCAATTATCATTACAGATCAAATTGCATAGGGTGTTGACATTAACAGAAAAGGATGCAATGTGATTAGCTCTGGCTTGCTTTTTTTTTCTAACATTCCATTAAAATATTAAAAGTTATATGATTGGCCCGGTGTGGCTCAGTGGTTGGGCATCGACCCACGCACCAAGAGGTCGCTGGTTCGATTCCCGGACAGGGCACATGCTCAGATTGTGGACCAAAACCCCAGTAAGGGGGCATGCAGAAGGCGGTCAATGGATGTTCTTTCATGGATGTTTCTCTTTCTCCCTTTCCCTTCCTCTCTCTCTAAAATCAATAAAGAAAAAGAAAATAGAAGTTATGATTACATACATCGCCATCACATGAAATAAAAATTAAAAGACTTTCATAAGTGACTCTGGAACCATGTCATCACTAAAGTTTACAATGCTGTATATTGTGATATAGAAAAAAGCTGCTATTCACTTTCTTCAGTGCTGGTGTTAAACCTACCACAAGATTTACCCTCTTGTTTACTGAACACCAGGTGGCGCTCTTGGTAAGTTAAATTTCTCCGAAATACCCAGGGCAAAGTAAATCCAAATGGACGAGAGAAACTGCCAACTGTTAACAGTAATTGCCGGTTCTGATTCAGAGAAAGGAAAGGATAGCTTATGAGCTCAAGTCCTGTGAGATGGAGCACACCAAGCCAAGAGGTGTGCTTGTTCAACAAACAAGGACTCACCTACAGGGCACATTCATCTCCCTCAACGTATTTCTATTTCATTTTCACTCTAAACACAAGTCTTAATAAGAAAGAAAGAAACCAGTACTCACATATAGCAAAACATGGTCATTCCTGCCCTGGCTGGTGTGGCTCAGTGGGTTAGAGCATCATCCCCTACACTGAAGGGTTGGTGATTCAATTCCTGGTCTGGGCACATGCCCGAGTTGTGGGCTCGATCCCCGATCCCAGGTAGAGGTCATGCAGAGGGCAGCCAATTAGCGTTTCTCTCTCTCTTCCTCTTTCTCTAAAATAAGTCTTTAAAAAAAAAAAAAAAAATTGGTAACCCCCAACAGGAAGCCTTCCTGACAAGGAAAGACCTATATGCTTTTCCACTGCTTCTGAAACGTTAGTACTCTTCCTTTCAGTATGTCTGTCACTGCTCTCTGTCGTATACTTAGTCAGAAAGTTTCTGCCCTTTGCCCCTACATCGGAAGTCCAATAGAACAAAGAGGAGCCTCTTAAGATTCTTGGTGTTGAGTGAATGAAATGGCTACGCATTTCTCAAATTCCACTGTTATCTGTGTTTGCAAAAACACCTTAAGGAATACTGATCCTTCTCTTTAGTTCTCAGAAGAATCAGTTTGTGTATTTTCAAGCCAGATTACTCTGAAGCATTCCCCGCAAACTACATACAACTGACCCTTGCACGTGGATTTCTTTTTTCAGTATGGACTGGAGTGTATTTTCCTTGTGATTTTCTTTAAAGTTCTTTTGTCTGGCTTACTTTATTGTAAGAATACAGTATATAATACACATAACACACAAAATATGTTTTAATCAACTGTTATTTGTAAGGCTTCCAGTCAGCAGGCTATTAGTAATTAAGTTTTGGGGGAGTCAAGTTACCGGTCATTTTTTACTGTGGGGATTGGCGTCCATACCCCCTGTATTGTTCAAAGGCCAACAGTATGTGAAAATCTGTATCAACATTAAAGCTGGGAGGGTATTTGTTTTTTTTACAAAAGATTACTCACAGGATTCTTTTATGTATTTGTATACATTTAAAATAATGAGATAAATATAAATGTATATACACATATAGTTTCCAGTAAAAGACCCACCCACACTTACTTGTTCAGCTGCATTCTTAACACCAAATGTTCAAATAGCCACCTCCATAGGATCCGCAAGATGAAGTCTAGCTTCCTAACATGCCTAGGAATCATCCGTATTGTACCTTTGCAGACTGTTCGTGCTCCGAGCTGTGCAGTATTTCACCGTGTGCGCACAGCACAGTGCATGTGTGTGTCCGTTCTTTCCGTTTTGAACTCTTGGCTGCTTTCCTACTTTTTTTGTTTCACCCGAGGATATTTTTTCCATTTATTTATTTATTTTTTAATCCTCACCCAAAGACATTTTTGCATTTATCTTCAGATAGGAGGGAGACAGGAAGGGAGAGAGAGAAACATCGATGTGAGAGAGACACATCAAGTGGTCGTCACCCACATGACCCTAACAGGCTGGGGACAAACTGCAACCGAGGTAGGTGCCCTTAGCAGGAACCGAACAAGGGTTCTCTGGTCTGTGGGCCGACGCTCTAACCCCTGAGCCAAACCGGCCAGGGCACCGTTGATTTTTTTTAGAGTGGAAGGGAGAGAGGGAGAGCGAGGGAGACAGAGAAACTTCGATGTGAGACACATCAGTTGGTTGCCTCCCGCACATGCCCCAACTGGGGCCAGGGATTGAACCTGCAACCCAGGTATGTGCCCTTGACCATGAATCTAACCTGTGATCCTATGGTGTGTGGGCCAATGCTCTAACCAGTGAGCAACCTAGCCTGCTTTCCTACTTTCTACTACATTTCATTATATTTTCAGTTGAATCTATTATTTGGGGGTGGGGGGTACCTTATTCAATGTTAATTTGAGGTAGTTTTGTCTTTTTCCATTTCCTTGTTGAGTTATATCAACTCTTGTTTCAAAGCTTCCTGAAGTTCTTTTTCCCCTTTTGGTCCAATTTTGGTTGAGATTTTGAATTTCTAATTTCAAGGGTTTTTATTTCTGCAGAGTCCTGTTTAAGGTGTTTAATTCAGACTGGGTATTGTTCCAGGTCTCTTCTGCCTGCCGAGTTTTCCTGAGCTGTAATGGATTTTGTTTTCTTCTTATGGTAGGGTTTATATACATCGTCTTCCTTGTTCTGCTCATTTGAAAGGCATAGTTTTATTTTTTACCTGCAAATACAGTTAGCTCTCTAGGCAGGGACAGGGGTGTGTGTCTTCTGGGGTTTCTGACTCAAGTGTTTACTGTTGGGACAGATAAATGCAGCATTTCTTTGTGGAATGGGGGCGGGTAGCAAAATTACAGTTATGAAGTAGCAACGAAAATCATGTTATGGTTGGGGGTCACCACAACATAAGGAGCTGTACTACAGGGTCACAGCATCAGGAAGGTTGAGAACCACTGCTCTAAGGTTTGTTTTTTTGCTTCCTTCTTTCACTTGGTCATCAAGCCTCCAGGAGACCTCGTCCCCCCTCAGAAATGGTATGCTCCCCAACAGGCTGCCTGCAATCTCATGAACTTTTCAAACGTCCTCTTCCTGATGCACTGGTGTCAGACTTATCAGTGCTTCCTTCGCTCGAGGTAGGGTCCCTGTGTCCCCCGTGTACTGCCACCACTGGCCCCGTGGCCCTCGTCCCTTCCCCAGTTTCCACCTGACTCGCCCTCCACGAGTTCTGAAGCTGGCTCTAGTTCCGGTGCACAGTTCTGCTTTCATGTAAGCAGAACTTTCCTGCGTCTCCATTGTGCTGCGGGTACAGGTGAATGGTGACTTCGTTCCCCTTGTCTGTACAGTGCTGAGAAGATCATGAAAGTGATTCAGATTTAGGCAGATGCCGATATTTATTGAAAAAGCAGAGGCCAAGTACCTCGCTGTAAACATGAGCACACAGCAGGAATTACCAGACTTGTGAGGGAAACTTCCAACAGAAAGAAACTAAAACAAACAGAACAGTTAGGTATCACATCCATTATGGAACAGGTTGGTATTTATTTTCTTTTTTCTTTATTGATTCCAGAGAGAGATGAAGGGAGAAGGAGAGGGAGAGAAACATCGATGAGAGAGAACATCAGTTGGCCGCCTCCTGCATGCCCCACACTGGGGATCTGGCCCACAACCTGGGATGTGTCCTGACTGGGAATCAAACCGGTGACCTCTGGGTACATAGGTCGATGCTCAATCACTGAGCCACACCAGCCGGGTGGTATGTATTTTTTTAATTTAGATAAAAAAGAGAGCTCTTGATTAAAACCCAATAGTAGACATGAAAGCCCTGCTGGGAGGACTGGAAACAGATGTCTCCAACGTCAAGGACAGAGACACACGGCAACAAGAAGAGCAGCAGCAGGCCCCAACCAGCAGCTGTTCCACAAAGAGCAGAGAACAGAGGAGAGAAATGATGTAATGCTTTAAGAAAAGGTCCCCGAAGGTAGGGCACAAACTCAGTTTGCATGCCTAGCATCCTGGCTGAGCACAGGCCCACACCAATGTTGTAGGGCTGCCGAGCCCCGGGGAAGAAGGATGATTCTATGAGCGTCCCCAGAGGAAAAGCAGATTTCATTTACAGAAACAGCAGTGGCAAAGGCTTCAGATTTCGCAGCCTCCACACTGGAACCTAGAAGCAGTGAGGCAATGCTTCAGAATTCTGAAGGAAAACCATTTCCAAATTAAAATTTGAAACGCATACAAATTGACCAATTAAGAGTAAAACAAAGACACTGGTCTCAGAAACTGTACCACCCACGGACTCCTTCAGAGGAAGTCTCCAAGGGCATGCTTCACCAGACTGAGGCAGTCAACCAAGAAAGAGGAACTATGGGATCCCGGAAACCTTACAAGATCCAACCCAGTGGCGAAGGGATCCCCAGAACAATGGTGAGAAGGGATCCAAGAAAGACAGCTGTGTGGCTGGCACAAAGGGCATTCACTCCACAATGTCGCAGGGTAGAGGCCAGAGGGAAAATGATTAAGAATCAAGACATTAAGGAAAAAAGTAAATTGTGGAAGACAAGTCATCCTGGTTACTGTTGTCTCCGCTTTAAAGTGCACATGCAGTCTAACTGTTTCCCTGGTCTTGACCTAACATAACAAGGAAAACGTGGCGTGTGCTTGCACACTGTGGCGGGGATGGTGAAGGCGGGCTGGAAAGAGGCCTACACGCATATCCTCGTGCTGGGAAGTTAAAGATAATGCCTGATGCTGGAAAAAACGAGGCACAGCGATGTCATGATGGTTTAGAACTAACTGGGCAAATACCCAAGAATCACTTTGGCAGCAGATACTAAAACTGGAACAATACAGAGAAGGTCAGCACGGCCCCTGCGCAAGGATGACCTGCAAATTCATGAAGCCATTCCATAGGAAAGTCACTTCCCGGATCCTGTCTTTTTTAATCCTCACACAAGGTTATTTTTCTCTTTATCATCAGAGATAGAGTGGGAGGGAGGGAGAGAGAAAGAGGAAGAGAGAAAACATCGGTGTGAGAGAGACACATCGACTGGTTGCCTCCTGCACGACCTGACCATGACCAGGGACGAACTGCAACCATGCCCTTGACTGGAATCAAACCCGGGACTCATTGGTCCGCGGGCTGACGTTCTAACTGCTGAGCCAAACCAGCTAGGGCCGATCCTGTTTTATTTATATGTGGAGATAAAGTCTGCTCTGCTGCCCTGGCCTGTTTGGCTCAGCGGTTAGAGCGTCTGTCTGCGGACCAGAGAGACCCGGGTTCAGTTCCCGCTAAGGGCACGCACCTCGGTTGCAGTTTGTCCCCAGCCCCAGTTGGGGTCTTGTGGGTGGCAGCCAGTCGATGGGTCTCTCTCTCTCTTCCTCCATCTCTATCTGAAGATAAATGCAAAAATGTCCTTGGGTGAGGGTTGAAAAAAAAAGTTTGCTCTGCTTATTGTGCATTCTGAGAGAAAATTGTAAGGGTATTTATAGAATACCATAGAAATATAATTTTGGCAGAAACAGTCTTAAACATAATGCAAAGGAGACCTTATCCAATAACCTCTATGACACCCTGTTCAGAGATAAAATATCCAGTAAAAAAAAACCAACTTCAGCTGCTGCAGGTAGGCTCTCCCTGTCTTGGGAAGTGGCTGATGTGTTCTTGTAAAAGTCCTCCGTCCACCTCACGAGGCCATGCCCTTTATGTATTTCACTGGCCCATGCATCCCCTTGAACACTGCCATATTTCAGGTGAAATTTACTTGCTGGTGATTATGAAAAGAATCTGCATTAAAACCAAAAGCAGAATCTGGGGAATGTATCCCCGACCTTAGAATGTACACAAAAACTATCTTTGAAGTAATGAAGACTGGGTATTTATAAACAGTTGAAAACAATCCAATGTACAATTATGTTATGAAGTACAGGGTTGAAGACGCGGCACTGCAGACTACGGCTGGAATGCAGCTCTCCTTGGACTATGTGCACTTTGGGAAATCCGACTTCATTAAGGTCTCTAAGTCTGGAGCTATTGTGCTTTTCAGATGAAAAAGGCTCAAAAGGTCACACAATCAGGTGGTTGAGCCAGAACTAAACAGATTTGTTAATTCTGTCTCTGCTTTTTACTACACTACCTAATTTAATGAGTTTCCATCTCTAACTCATTTGCCCTCTCCTTTAATTCACCCAGCTATATTTAGTACAATTTTCCAAATGCCCTAAGATAGGCTGAAAAACACACACCACACAAAAAATAGCTCAAGGAGAGAGAAAGGAACATGTACACTGATCTCACTTTATAAGAGCTCTGAAATTTTAGTCTATGACACAGAAATTAACTTTTTGCATACACAGGACACCTGTGACAACTAGAGACAAATGTCTAACGCCGTCCTTTTGCAGCAGAGCTGCTCGAAAGCATGAGTGTCAGAGTTGTTTTAAAAATCCTACTGAGAGACAAGTGCTGCGAATCTAAACACAAAGCTCATGGACCCCTGGGCAGTCCAGTGACCCCCAGGGTGTCTCACACCACTGGACTCCCCGTGTGCTGTTCTCTCCCCACCGTTATCATTTAGAAACAGTAAGAGCAAATGCTCTGGACTAAGCCAGAGCGGTGGGGCAGAAAAGCACATTGTCTGATGGAGGGTCCACTGAGAAAGTATATGATAAAGGCTTAAAAAACAAAAGAAGACAGATGGAAAGAACAATCATAATTTTTCCAAGAACATTTATACATCGTTTTAATTAGATTAGCTTTACAAGCAACTTGAGAGCTCTTTCATAATGAAACACTGCTTTTCAAATTACATGACTTTATAGTCTGTCTGTATATGAATCCTGATATTCTTTACCTGCTGTTTATAAAGGTCTGTGTTTTACAGCTGGTTAATGTGTTGAATAAAAACAGCATCAGAAGCTTTCTCTTTAACCAGAATTAAACACATATAGGCCACAAATAATTTTAAATTTTGTTTTAAATAAAAGTCCTGCTTGGTGACATGGTAACGGTCCCACTAACATGCCATGAACAGATTTTAAATGGATATTAAAGAAATGGCTATCCTGATTTCTTGATCCTTTCACAATGATCCCCAAGAGATTACATACACTCTACCAAGAAAATACAAAACGTAAGACCTGTCTGGCAGCGCAACCCAGAGCGGAGCTGCAGAGATGGACAACTGAAGGGCATGGGGCTCCCAGACTAAGAGGCTGTTGCTGTGCACCTCGACAATCGGACAAAGTTCCCATCAACACAATACAATGTGTACTAGACTTAAAAGTGATAGTGCTTGAGTGGGCTGACGCAGCGCACTGCACTGCAGACCGTGGCCAAGGCAGCTCGCACCCAGGTCAGACTGGCAGAGGCACTGAGTGCAGGGACGTTACACCGCATGACCTGGAACGAGGGGAGGAAGTAGCACAAAACTGAACACGAGCAAGGAAAACAACACAAACTCCAGTTTTGTCCTGCAAGTTCTCCTAAGTGAGACCACAGTACTGAATATTAATCCCACCCTAGGTCCACACTGTCGGTTTCATTAAACATTTTTTTCATGTTTTACATGAACAATATCAATCTTTTAATAAAAATTACTGAGCTTTCCATAGAAAAGGTTGCTAAGTGAATACAAACTATACAAATGCTAAAACTGTAGTAAGTTGAAATATACAGAAATAGTTCTGTACACTCACATTATTTTGGCAAAGAAGATCAAGGACAGAGATAGAAAACTGAAGTGAGCATTCCACCCATAATGCATGCAAAGTATGGATGCTACCTGTGTGCTCTGCCTAGGACACTGCAGTCTAAGACACCTGTTCCAATCGATACTTATGTAATCAAGCCTGGGAGGCCTTGTGTGATTTTGTCACATTTCCTCTTTTTCTGAAAAGTCAAAAAGAAAACTCATAAAACATTAACATTGTCTTGCTGTTCCCTTCTCTTGTTTTGTCAAGCTAACCACACCTCCCCTCTCGGTGCCGACAGAGCCCAGCACGCGTGGGCGCCTAGCCGTGCTCCGAGGAGTCGCGAACACGAAGCCTGCGATAACTCGGGTCAGTCGCGAAGCACGCGGTCTCCCCTCGAGGCTACCAATGGGAGCAAGGTTCTGATCTGCGGATCAGATGGATCATAGGAACAGGACAACATAATAGCAAAATTGGACGTGCAATCAACCTGCAGGAAGCAAGAGGAAAAGTCTTAGGAAGGGGGCTGTTTTCTACACTACAGGACACTACACTACAGGATACACCTGAATGCTTAAGAAAGCCCTTATGCTGGGAACTTGATGCTGAAGATAACCTCAAGTTCACTTAGTGCCAGTCACTGTCGTTTTTTTAAAATTTAACTTAAACTATATAACTATTTTTCTTACGGTGTATTTTTTCTAACAAAACATTCAGAACGAAAAGTTATTGGTAGTAAATGGTGATGGTTTTACTGTTTAGTTTCATTATTAACAATGTCAAAAAAACAACAGCAACAATTTTTAAGAATTCAAATTAGTGTAAGACAGGACTACAAACAATCTGATTTTCAGCTGGTAATTAAAGTGCTCCTTATTTTAAGTAAAAAGAAAATTAAAGTAATCATCAGTCACTGGCAACAATCATTATAAGAGGTCTTTTAGGGCAAAATTTAATAGTACGAAGAGGTTTACAAAAATAGAGTGATGCTATTTTGGGGAATAATACTGTAATTTTTTCTCAATTCAGTTTTGATAAATTGTACCTGATCATACAAAAATTACTTCAAATTCAAACTTGACTATATAAAAAAGGGGAGAGATGAACTGAACTCAGCTAGATGGCAGATCTGACAAAATATAAGAATGAAACAATGCTACCTAGGGCACTTATTTCATGTCCAGATGTAAATACCATTCTCAGTTGATAGCTTATATTCTTCCATAAGCAATCACAGGTTTGGAGTCAGTCATGCAGTACAAAGCCACACAGTCAAATCTTCTTTCTGATGCAACACAAAAAAGTTGTTTCTGTTTCCTTATTAATATGTCAACTGGTTGTCTATTTTTCTTTATCCCATTTATTTGCAGTCACAAGTTAACAAACAGCATCAACAATTATTGTAGGTGAAGTGGGATATTGCTGGATCAAAGTCTCTCTATAAGACGTCTTTACTGATTGAATCAGAAGGCTTATTTAGTTCAACCCTCACACCTTTCTCACCTGCAAGGTAAAACAAACAAAAAAAACAACAAAATTCATTCGTTAAGCACCAGAGAGCTTCTGTTACTGCTTCCCACTGAGTTCCTAACCGTATGCACAAGGTTTCAACTTTGCAAACACATGTCATCTGCAAACTATCACCTTGCTACCCTCGGCACTGTACTATGGGGAATGCATTACTCTGAGCTAGTAAACCTTCAAAGGGAAAAGACATTCTCTACACCAAGATTTTGTCTTTTTATTTAAAAAGTAATTTGAATTGTTATAAAATAGCAGTGTGTTCTGCGTCACTAAAAGCACACTACTGGGCTTCTTCCAAAATACATAGAAAACATATAAACATCCTACTTTTATAGTTTTATAAAAGGTTGGTTCATGAAAATACAGCCAGTTAATCAGTAACATGAACAGTGAGCAGACTTTGGGAGATATAAGGTAGGGTTAAAGAAAAGACAGGTACGGGGTCCATCAGATGGAAAACTAAGACCGCCTGCCCTAGGAGACAGTCCGTAAGCGGGGAGTGGACGCTCTGGCACAGAGGACCTCATGCTCCGTACAAGTGTGTTGACCTATGGCCACCACGGCAGATAGGGACTCTACACACCTGTCTGATTTACTGATTCTGGCATTTCCATTCACCTCTTTGTATCAATTTTCTTCCTGCCCACATTCAATGTGAAAGACCTGGAGTACTCTTTAGCGCATATTCATTTAAAAAGGGAAAGATATTAACTTCCCTCTAAGGGGAGAATGAGAGGAAGCCAGATGGCAGGTACCAAGAGTTCAGCAGCCTATGATTGAAAATGATAATCACAGAGAAACTCCGTTCGTATTGGAATAATTTTCTCAGACTTCTTTGCCTCAAACTTTCCTAAACTTTGGACAATTTGGGGGGTTAAAGATAACAATAAAGATGACTTCAGAGAAGTCCTCTTTTAAATAATAAGGGAATTAAGGAATTTGACAAAAGCAAGGACTGTGGGCATTGTCCTTCCAGTGTACCCTGGCCCCAAATGCTATTTACCTGTTTGATATTTTACTTTAGCTCGTGCTCTCTCATCTGCATCAAAATACCAAACAGTTATTGCGTACCTAAAAGAAAATTTAGAATAGGGTAAGAATGATCACACTGGGGAACAAAAGTGATATGCTGTTGCAATGGTCTATAAAACATGTAATGTCAAAATAATGTCTCAATCGGAATTATTACCAGAGGATAAATGAGCACAGTAACAATCCAATTATCCAGTAGCCTCAATGCTCAAGAGTACAGCAGAGAAGCAGGAGCAGCTAAAATTGATGTTGCAAAGTTGATGAGTTTTTATGACTTTCATAATGCCTACTTAACCTCCTTGATCTGTTCTGCAAGCCCAGAGCAGACCAGAAACACACTGAGAAGGCAGAAGAGCGACTGCTGGACCACACAGCACGAGCTCTGAAAGAAGACAAGAGGAACAGAAGGACAAGAAGGCCTGGGCTGCTTCAGTGACAGGAAGGGCTGACAGTCTCCACAGCTTATGAGGACATCACTATATAGCAAAGAATCATGATGGATGTTTACAATTTTATAACCTCGAGTCATCAAGAAAGATTTAATTATGTTAAGAATTTTTTAGGATTTTTATTGAAACAATTAAACTAGGTTTAGACATAAAATTTAGCTAAACATCTTTCTGAAAAATGAGGAATCTCTGGTTTATTAAAAAACTATAAAGTGCAAAGTTATACGTTTTGATACCAATAATGGGGAAAATGTATACATACTATAGGAAGTGACAGCGTACTATGATCACTTCTTAGTAGAACACCGCAATCAGTTCCAGTGTCTTGCAGACTCTGGCCAGTTTTCACTGGCGGGAAGCAACACTGACCACATGAAGAGCCAGTAAGCATGACAGAGCTAGATCATGTCAAATATTTGAAGTGAAGAGTCAAAGGCAGAGTAGAGTCTGAGTCTGAGAGTTTGGACAACTGGGGAAACTGAGGCCCACAGTCACTCAGCTGGTGAGTGACAGAGCTAAGGTCACACAGTCCAGTCTCCTGACTTTTAGATTCTGCTGTTTCCAACACCTTTCTTAACATCTAGACTCTTCTATTTTTCCAAGGGGCCCTGGTAATATGAGGGGGGCACAGATACATGATTTTATATCTCTTTTGCCATGCCCCTAACTTTTAGTAACTTAGTAATCAGAGTTCTAAATATCTGGATCAACTCCCCTCTCTAGTCCTAAGTCCTTACCAGAAAACAATGGTAAAGTACTACATGTCATTCTATGTCTCCCTCCTTATCTCCCATTGATCTACTTAAAGAACCCTTCAAACCGGAACTGGAACCATCCTGTCCTTTCCTCCCAGGGCTTTACTGACACTAATGTCCTCCTTGCTTGGTGACATTCTAGGCTCAGCTGAGCTCCTCTTTCTGCTGGACACCTGACCAATCTCTACAATTCATACTGCTGTCTCCCTTCCTAGAGACTCCTCCTATAGCACTTATCCTCCCAGACCATTCTCAAGATTCCATGAAAAGGGAGGTCTGTGAAGGGGTTTCTGGGTCCGAAAAGGTTCTAAAACAGTCGTGGGAGAACCGAGCATGGGGTGCCCAGAGGAGAGATGGGATTCGGGCAGATGTCAGGTTATGAGCAGGGCTCCCCGGTTTCCAGTCTCTGTTTCTTAAGATCTCAAGCCACAAACTGCTCAGCTTGCTACTCATAATATGAATTAGGGCTTTTAAAGACAACAGTGGCTTGACAAGAAGAAAAAAGTAAGAGATGACAACGGCCTTTTAGAATCTGAACTTCATCCAAGGCTGGCCTGTCTCTAAAGTCCTTATTAAAAGCCAACTCTTCTCAGATGCCTGAGGGTATGCCTCTTCTCACCAGATCCAAGCACCTGCTTGCCAGTAATTCGCTATAATGATGTTCAAAGTCCTTTTGATAATGAAAAATAGGTATTTAATACACAGTGCTATTTTTTTTACAAATATTTATTTTTACAACAATTTCTATAACATCTTCCATTTTAACAATCTTAACATTTTAATTGAGCCACAATAAATATAAAAAAAATACTTAAAGAATACATTAAACATAATAGGTTTAGAATATTAAACCTTGTAAAAAAATATATATATATAATGCAGAAAAAGAGATGATATTAAAACTAAAGGGTTACTTTTCTAACCTTAATTCCCACATATGACAATCTTTTCTTTCCTCTATTCTTTTTTCTCTTTGCTTCTACTCCCTGGTTACCTCTCCTATCACTTTTCTACATCATCTCTCTGTCTCTCTCCCCACGTCCCCTCACCACCTTTTAAAAAACTGCCCTTTTCCTTTCTCTATCTCTTCTTTCTATTCCAAGTGAACAGAGTTGACCTTTGAACATCACAGGTTTGAACTGTGTTGGCCCACTTACACACAGATTTAAAAAAAAAAAACTGTATTATTTTATCTTCCTTGTGATTTTTTAAATAACATTTTCTTTCCTCTGGCTTGCTTTATTGCAAGAATACAGTATAAATATATATAACGTATAAATGTGTTAATTGTTTATATTATCAGTAAGGCTTCTCGGTAGGCTATAGTTACAGTTTTGGGAAGTCAAAAGTTACAGATTTTCAACTCACAGGGTCTGCACCCCTTTATCCACACACTGGTCAAGGGCCAACTGTACTCTCCCAAAATCACAGGATGGACAGCAGTTAAAAGATGAACAAAACAAGGAGATGGGACTGGAAAGATGACAGGGCCTGTGCTTCCATTCTTACCCCGAACAAGGAGTGGCTGTGCCAAGAAAGTCGCATGTGGTGCTAACTGGGAACAAATATTACTGAATTATTCAAATTAAAAGTTGTGATGGAGGATTATAATGCAAATAATTGAAGAACAGAAAAATACTCATTAGAAAACTGAAGTTTATCTTATCTACCTATCCCCTTCAGTCTTGCCATAATCCTTAACAATTGTTTCTTAAAAGGAATACTACCTTGTAGCATATGCTGGTTGTACTTCGTGAGGGTTGCGACGGTCAGACCAGAAAAACAGCAGTCTATCAAATTTGGGTTCAATGTCAGCAAACTGGGCTTTGCCTTCTGGAAAAATTCGAAGTATACCTCCACTTACCTAGGAAAAGAGCCAAATAGCTAAATATGAATAATCAAGAATGCTACAAAATTAAAGGGGGAAAAAGACTATCACAGTGAATAGAAATTCTTAATTGGATTATTTACAGAGAGATATATATGTGTGTATATATGTTTTTTATCCTCACCTGAGGCCATTTTTGCACTTATCTTCAGATAGAGCAGGAGGGAGAGATGGAAGAAGAGACAGAGAGAAACATCGATGTGAGAGACACACTGACTGGTCGCCAGGTGGCGACTGGGGCTGGGGACAAACTGCAACCGAGGTACATGCCCTTAGCACAGCTGTTCTCAACTTGTGGGTCGCAACCCCTTTGGGGGTCAAATGACCCTTTCACAGGGGTCACCTAAGACATAACAGTAGCAAAATTACAGTTATGAAGTAGCAACAAAAATAATCTTATGGTTGGGGGTCAGCACAACGTGAGGAACTGTATTCAAGGGTCGCGGCATCAGGAAGGTTGGGCACCACTGCCTTAGCAGGAACTGAACCTGGTACTCTCTGGTCTGAGGGCCGATGTTCTAACCGCTGAGCTAAACTGGCCAGGGTGCTTAACCTACTCTTAAAATGTATACATATCAAATCATCTTGACTAAATTACAGGCATACCTTGCTTTATCGTGCTTCACAGATGTATTGTTTTTTACAAATTGAAGGCAAGATCTTCTACCAACAAAAAGATTATGACTTGCTCTGTTGCGACAGTCACTTTATTGCAATATTTGCTTAATTGCGGTGGTCTGGAACCAAACCCACAATATCTCTGAGGTATGCCTGTATTATAAATGGTTAAGTGTGTCACATAAGTAGTTTACAAATTTAATGCCTCTTATTTAAAGAATTCAGTGTATTAGCAGAATGTGTCATCATTTATTATCATCATCACCTCCACTGTGGTCCATTATTAGAAACTGAAGCCCTCCCTCTCCAGACTGAGATTGACACATGGATGACTGCCAGCTTAAAAAACTGGATTCCACCCAGAAAGGATTATTACTATTTACCCAGATATAGATCCTTCTCCGTTTGGGATTAGATGGACCTACCTACTCACTGCAATACTGACTAAGTATCTACTGTTCTAGAACTAGAGGTGGGCCCAGGGTGAAGGGTAGGGAATAATGCAGACAGATGTCCTCGTGGTATTTACAGTCTAGAGGGAATTAAAGCAAGGCAAACCACTCAACTGAGCAGCTCTTTACCCTTGAAGAACTAAACTCCCAAGCAGGCAGACTCTTAAATTGAAAGAAACTTGAATACTTGATCATCAAGAAGGTTGAGCCTATTCCTAGACTCTACAGTTAGAGAAGCTATTGATCAGGCTCATCCCTAACAGAGTTAAATTCAAGTTCCTTGGTACCCTTGCCTGCCTTCCTCAGGTTCCCATGTTGTCCAGAGTGGTTCCTGCAGCACCCTTGCACACATCTGAAGAACCTTTAGACTGTGACGAGGACATGTCTTCTTTCCCCCTGGCCTATTCCCTGACTGAAGTCACTGGGAATACCCCAGGTGGTCTGCTGAAAATGTTTAAGAAGAGAGAGGTAGTTGAAGCTACGATCCTCCTCTGGGAAGCCATCCCTGACAAAAGAAGGTTTACATAATACAAATAAATAATATTACAAGAATAACTTTTGAGCACTTACAACTGTAAACCTACTCTTGCCCACCCTATATAGTCTCACTGGTTTTACAGGATTTTTCAGTATTGATACACTTCCAGTTTTTCCATAATTAGGAATAGAAGGGATTCTGCCTACAGTATTCAGTCCAACAACCCCAATGCCAGATAACATCTCTACAACAATGTAAAGACTAAAGTAGGAGTAAGGAGCAAATAAACTTTAATAATTATTTCTACATAATCTCCTTCAAAAGCCATTATAAAACAATCATTCACAGAAGCAATTTTATAAAAACTATTAAAAGGAATATATTTTAATAAAAGATAGTTTTGTAGAAATTGTATTTTAGATAAATACTTCAATATCTGAAAATAAAGGAACCTACTTTTTGAGATACATTAGTATCTGCTTCACTTTACAAAGATCCACTGCTAATAGCTAAGACTGAAACAAATCTAAAAAATTTTGACTGTTACATGTGTTAAAAAGACAGTCTTACCCATGAGGAGTATGAATCTTAATACTTATGAGAAAAAAATACCCATGAGAAAAAAAATAAATGTTAAGTTGCATACCTTGGCATCCCAGTCTTTATTAAGATAATATATACATGTCACACATCTTCCATCTCCATTTGGATTATCAACATGACGCACATATCCCGTTCCATTGCCTGGATAACAAGCAACCATGGCCTGCAGTAATAATAATGATGATGATTTTAAAAGTCCATGTATGAAGTAAAAGAGAAAACAGCTTATAAAAGAGATCTCTGATTTTTGACTACTCTTATACTTAAATTCTTCTCCCCAATAAAAATCACACTTTGTAGATAAGAGGCAAAAATACCCTGTGCTGACACTATTTTAAAGAATACAAGGTATGCTGGGAAGAGCTAACCCTGAGGAATCAGGGAGCAACATGCTATGGACATTCAGCTGTCACAAGCCAAGTGCCCTGCTTAAAACCCCAAAGGCCAGAAGGATGGCAGGACCCCCGGTTCACGATCTGATCCATACTGACATTCCACTCCAGTGAGTTCTGTCCTCCCCAAGCTCACAGCAGAACACCTACCTTACCGTCGGTCTCACAATCAAACATCCATCTAACACTGTCTCTGAATGGTCCCAATTTGGATAGGCATAATTTAGGTCAATTTCAAACATTAACTTAATGTCAGTGACTTTTTTTTAAAAAAGACTAAATGACAAATTAGCATGTGACTAACCCCTCTTCAAATCAGAGAGAAATTCATTTTTTCACTCAGATTATAAGAAGATACAGGTTTAAAAGATTGCTGAGTCTTAAACATAAAGGCGGAAGAGAGGCCCAAAATAAAAAGCACCAAATAACTTATATGTTCTAGGAACATAGTACATAATAATCAACTGGATAATTTAAAAAAAAACCTCAGCCCAGCTGGTGTGGTTCAGTGGTTGAGTGTCAACCCATGCACCAAAAGTCACTGGTTCGATTCTCAGTCAGGGCACATGCCCAGGTTATGGGCCCGATCCCCAGTGGGGGGCATGCAAGAGGCGGCCAATTGATGTTCTCTCTCATCTGCTTCTCTGTCTCCCTCTCCCTTCCTCTCTCTTTAAAATTGATAAAGAAAAAAAAATTTTTTTTTCAATCTCAGAATTAGGAAGAAGACAAAAACAAAGATGCACAAGGTTACCAGTTATTCTTGAAATCCTTTATTTCTCCAGTTTCTTTATGTATTAAAGTCAATGGATCAGTATTAATACAAAATTATCAAGTAGTAATTAAATTAATAATTAAGATCAATGCTAATTTTTAAAAGCTCATATTCAATTGGTTAGTGACTAAGTCACGCCAAGGTTTTCAACCTACATAATTGAGCGAATGGAGTTAACTGTTTACTAAAACAGAAATTACTAGGTAAAGAGTGGCCTTAATAGCATTCATAGAATAGGAAAGGAGTTTCTCAGCAATGGCCATAATAAGCCAAACACTGAGAATCAATCAAAATAGAAGACACCAGGATTATGCCTCCATATGGGATCTGTTGGTATCAGCCCATCTGAACTGCTTTCTTCAGAGCCCTAAGGGCTGCATGGAGATCCGTGGGGGTGGAGACTGATGGGTGATGCAGTGGAACGAACCTTCAACTAGAGGCTGCATTTATGTTTCCTTCATTTGAATGCCAAGTGAAACTTTTTGAAAAAATAAAAGATGCCATAAGTGAAAAGTTTTAAACAACTGTGTTATTTAAATTTTACAATCCCTGTTACAACTCAGTTACCTCCATCTAAATGTATTTTTGAGGCGGCCATTACCACTTTAGACTTATCTGGTGTTCCCTAGTTCCCTTTAGCTCTGCTCTGGTGATAGCGACTCTGCCAAATGAGAAGAAAGGAAGGAAGGGGGGGGGTGGTGGTAAGCGCCACAGGGCCTGCATGTAATCTGCCACCTCGGCTTGTCAATCCCACCCCAGGAGAGGCAGCAACACATGATTACAAAGGATAAAATGAAAGACCCTCAATGTGGAACAGCAAACCAGAAAGCCAGCAGTGACTACAGCTAAGTGCTGGCGACTGCCAAGAGTGCTTCCTCGACGAGGAGCAAGGAGTCCTGCTCTGGCAGTAAGAGCCCCAGATCACAGACAAGTCCCCAGGCCCTGGAACCAGAGACCAAGAGAAGACAGTAGAGTCCAAGCACACCCTGGAAAAACCAGACTGTCATGAAAAATCTCAAAACAGCCAAACTCCTAGAGGTTCTGGGGGAAGAGAAATTTTGTAAGAAGCCTGCAAACAGCCCTGGCCGGTTTGCCTCAGCAGTTAGAGCATCAGCCTGCAGTCCAGAGAGACCCCTGGGTTCGGTTCCCGCTAACGGTGTGTACCTCGGTTTGTCCCCGGCCCTGGTTGGGTTGTGTGGGTGGCAGCCACTGGATGTGTCCCTTTCACGTTGATGTTTCTCTCTCTCTCTCTTCCTCTCTCTCCCTCCTATTCTATCTGAACAAAAAATGGAAAAATGTCCTCGGGTGAGGATTGAAAAAAAAAGAAACCTGCAAACATTTGGAAGGGTTATGAATTTATTCAAATAACCATGTGGCCTAATAATGATACAGTGAAACTACATTTAGTAATTTGTAAACGTGCTGAGACTCCCCACAGTGGGATTTTAGAAACGTAAAAAGGTACTTCTGTAAGTCTCATGAAATCTGGTAGTTACTATATTTAAAACCAGAATTCATATTTTAACAAAGCTATCCTTAGCTATGGCTGGATTATCAAAATTTAAAGTTCCTTAAATGCAGTATAGCTTTTCTAATTTTGAAATAATACCAATGCTCTATTTCTTAATTGGTAATTTTGTTGTCCTGGTGTATTTTATATGTTTCTGTGTAAAAAATACTCTGATGTTGCTGTTATTTTGCTTAGTTTATTTTGAATATGCAGAACACTCTAGCATACTCTTATTCACAATATTTTTAGTAAATTCAGTTTATTCTCTTAATCTCTTGGTAAAGCAACTAGTAACTCATTCTACACGTGATCCCACCTGCTTAAGCACCTTATTAGTAGAGAAGTCATTAGCAACATTAAAAATATTTATGGAATACCTACCACAGCACACTACAAAAAAGGGTCAGCGTGGTATCTGCCTGAAAGGACTTAACTGAAAAGAGAGAAAAAACGGGGCACACACAAAACAGATGATAAGCAAATAATAAACAAAAAAAGAATTTTGGAAAAAGGACCTACTCGTGTGGGATAAAATAACAGAACAAGGCTTTGAGCTACACACAAGAAAGACCTACGCTTATCTTTAAAGCAGGGGTGGGCTGTATAAGGCCCACAAAATCAACGCTAGCTAACATCACACACCTCACCAAATCAGCCTGAGCAAATATAGAAGGCTCATTTTTAAAGCTGATAATTTTGTATGTCCCGCAAATGATGTTATAAACATTGGCAGAAAAAAAGGTTCCCCACCCCTGCTTTAAAGAATAGACATGATTTCAAAAACTGAAAGGAAGAAAAGCAAAACGTATGAGCATAACAAATATAGGAAACAGTTAAGTGGCAGTGAGGTACTTTTATAGGTAAAGTGAATTTGGCAGAAATAGGATGAAATCTTGAAAATGAAGCAGAGGAAACAGGATGTGAGCCCCTACAGTCCTTGGCTGGGGATGACCACAGTGAGAGCTTTTAGGAAGGCAGCTTCTTTATTCTAGGATTTATACAAAAGATTAGTATAAGACAAAGTGCACTGCTATAGTCTATTTGTGTCCTTGCCCCAACCACACCCCACATTCCTGTGTTGAAACCCTAAAGCCCCAAGATAATGGTATTTAAAAGAGGCCTTCAGGAGGTGCTCAGGCCACGAGGGTCGAGCCCTGAGGAAAAGGGTTACAGCAGTGCCTGCCTTCTAAAAGAGGCTCTGGAGGGACCCCTGTCCGCCCTCCACGTGAGGACACAGCAAGAAGTCACTGCCTATGAACCAGGAAGGCCGCGCGGTCTTGATATGGACTTCCCAGCCACCAGGACTGTGAGCAATACACTTCGGTTGCTTATAAGGTTACCCAGCCTGTGGCATTTTAGCCCAAATGGACTGAGACACACCTATAAAGGATAAAGTTATTCCAAGAGATTTACATTAGATGTATTAATTATAAGGATAAGGAAATGTATCAATGTCTATAAAGAAAAATTAAAATATCTCCATCTACAGAGACCTGTCAGGGATTGAAGTAAGACTCCCCAGTTGTCTTGTGTCCTTCCTGAGGAGAAGCAGGACTAGCCATGACGACACTCCTCCAGGTTTGGGGTGAGGCAGGAGAGGCTAGACATTTGCCTGAAGAAGAAACAATGCAGTCGCCCACTATAGAATTCTGAGGTATGTCCCTTATCTGATCTCTTTGAGACACCAACTTTAAATATTTCAATTTCCCATTGGGAAAAGGCTATTTAAACATAAGCAAAACAATTAAATACTATTTTTTCCTTTTTGATATGAAAATATACATGATTGAGGGCATTCTTAAGATAAAAAAAAAAAACCATAATTTTTTTTTTTTTTTTTTTACTCTGAGAATAAAAGGAAGGAAGAAGTTTGAGATATTTCTTTGGAATCTGAAGACATTTATTTCTGGCATTGGAAGGCTTGTTTGTATTCAATATAAATCTGAACCAGGAAACTTTTTCTTTTTTTTTAATTCTCCCTTTTGAACTGAATTATTTTAAAACACTGATTCAAAGCTAAAAGAACTAAATTTTTATGAGCTATCAAAATACTATTTTTGCCCTGAATGAGGGGAAACAGTTTACTATCTGAAAATTCTCCTAGGAAAATATATTGCCTAGGGTTTACAGAGCACTCTGCCCTTTGTAATATTGACAGCTAACAGTAAATAATTTTTCACAACAAATGTATGAGGTGGATATAATTAATCTCACCATTTTAGATATTAGAAAACTGAACTACAAGGAGAATAAAAAACTTGTCAAAAGTCACAGAGACACTCAGAGGTGCAGGTGAGACATGAACTGAGGCTATCCCGAGGGAAAATCACCTCCTGTGTCCTTGCTCCATTCCTGGTTCAGTAAGGCTGTGTTTAGTCTGATGGAGGAGTTCAGATGAAATTGGAAACACAGGCTCCTACGTGACCCCACCTGCTACAGTAATACACACTTCATGCATAATGCTCAATTCTCCCACAGATGGACTGCAT